GACCTCCTGAAGTACTAGAATCAAGTCCAGTATCAGAATTAGTTTCACATGAGCCTATGTATAGATTTGGGACACACAAGAGAGTTTATAATCAAACTGACTTCTGAAAGCTAGCGTGTAAGCTCTATGGGAGCAGGGACTGTATCACTGTGGTGCCTGAGGGCCTAACAGTGTTACTACAATAAAAATAAGAATACTGCTGAACATAGACTCATTTATTTTTAAACAGCACCTTGAAGAGAAGAAATGCTACTGAAAAAGCACTACCTAAAATGGGGCCAAATCTGTCTTTGTCCCAGCAGCACACAGTGAAAACCCGAAGGGGATGACTGCTAGGTTTACAAAGAAGCTGCACTTGAAGTTTTGCAGGTTACTGTCATGAGTGTAACACTACCAGTAAGCTATGTTGTACTGTAAGTCAATTCACATTAGTACAAAACAGCTGTATTTGAATAGCTCTGGGTGTATAGTTGTTATCATGGTCAGGCCTTCCTATAAATATGGGGTTATCATCACTGGCATCTACAATTACACCATACTCTGCCAGTCTTACGCTCTGCACATCATACTGTGTACAAAATTGGTGAGCAGTAGCATGTCCTGACATCAGCTCTGGCTATTCCCCACCATGTGCTCAAAAAGCCAGGAGCACGGTAGGAAAGGAAGAGAGGGAGGAGTTTGGTTGTGAATAGAAAGGCAGTCATGGCAGTAACTCCCACCTGAAAACTAGCCACTTTGATAGAGCTTCCTTTTTTTTTTTTTTTTTCCCCCACTTTCAACTCCCTACTTTTAACAGTGGTACATAAACATTCAGGCTACCAACTTTAATAATTCGATAATACAGAACCAGATGACCCTAATCTTAAGGCACAAAACTCCATCTTTCACCAAGTGTCAGTGTTCTGCAGAATTGAAAACCAGATGCCTTATATACTGACATTTGTGTATACTACTATTTATATTCAAAACCGAGATAAAACAAAAGCTTCCGAATTAAAGACTAAAGAACATGAAAGTATGAAAACGTGTCTCAAAATCTATAGCTAATTTCCTCAACTTCTTATTGCCTTTAATAAAGTGTGCATAATTTTCACAGTCTCAGAAGAGTTGAGTTCTATACTTATGCCCTCATTTATGATCAATTATTCATAAGCAATCACAGGCTGCGGTGTGCTAGCAGTTTTAAAAATTTATTTGCCTCTTAAGATAGTCAAAATGGAACTTTTAAAACAACTGCTGCAAAGATACATCAGGGTGCTGATTTTTGTAACACTTGATAAGATCAAAGTGTATGGTTCATTTCTGTTTAAAAAAACAAGCCTCAAATACAAAAAACCCCTGCTGAGTTATAGTCATCAGCCTATTCTTAAATCTCTTTCTTCAAGTACCTCCACAGGACACTTAACAGAAAAGCTCAAGATTGAGTTTTTAGAGCTTTTTTTTTTTTTTTTTTTTTTTTTGGGGGGGGGGGGGGAGCATGGGGTAGCATCGTCTGCTCTCTCAGACAATTTCACTTTGTTAATAATTAGTTTTAGCAGTTTTTTCCTTTTAATGTTTTTGATGGAGCAAATGAAGGCATTAATCTATAAAACCACAAATTCTATGAACAGCTATGGGGAAATTGTAACAAGACAAAAGCTAAAAGTCTAGTTTAAAGTTGAGCAAAGGCTTCATTCCTAAATACAACAAGCGGCACATTCATGAGTGACAGCTGAAGCAAGCGCCTGTTTCCCAGCGCAGCCAGCACCTGGGCGAGCTGGGAGCCGCTCCTCCCGCACAGTCGTCTCTCGGCTGCCATCTCCTGGGTAGGGTCCTTATAACAGTCCCGTGCGCCCCCCGCAACCCCCCACCCCCTTTTATTTCATGACAATCCATCCATTACTGTTTTCATAGTATTCATCAAGCTGAGCTTCTCTTGAGAACAGAGCAGAACGAAAATTCAGCATCAGGAAAGGAAACTCTTAAGCAGTGATGGTATACAGACATTCTGCCAGACAAAAGGATGGATCAGTGTATTCAAAATTTGCCAGCCAAGACCAAGACATCTTTTCAGAAGGCCAAATTCTCGCTCTGAAGACATGCACTTCTCTTCCACAAACACCTCTTATCTGGCAGATCTCTACAGGAAGCACACGGTGACCCTCTGGTCTGCAGAGTCTGTTCCCAGAAACATCTGTCTGCACCTGGAGCCACCACCTCTGCAACATGCTGTGACACACCTGAAAAACCACAGCAGGGTAGGATTACCCTCCCCTATAGCCAAGGCAGAAGAACAGCTGGACTTGTCCCAGAAAGCTAGGGCTGTACTGATCTGCAGCTGCCTATCATCCCACTCACGGACCTCACCACAACACAAGGTAGCCCTCATCCAGCAGCCCAGTCCTGCACAGAAACCAGGACATGTGCAGTTGCATCTTTGCCTGACACACAGTCAGACACAGCTGGGATTCATCCCCTAGCCTGGAAATTTGGAAACACTTCTGGGTCACTTCAGACACAGCCTTAGGCAGCTATCTTAGAACAGAGTAACTTGGCCCTCTTTACAATAATACTGCCCTAACAGAGAGGGTAGCCCTACAGAGGGAGCTGGAACACTGAGCCTGGAGCATGGACTTAAATTTCAGCGAGTTACATTTTACCTCTAATTATGCACATCATCCCTCCTAGGGGCATTTCCATTTTGCTTTTAGATGCCAGCTGAAGAACCCAAAGTTACATAAGACTGATACATCATTGTTCCAGAACAAAGAAGTACTTGCCTCATGCACAGCTAGGGACACAAAATGACATTTCATTGTTTTGACCATGGCAGCGTATACACATTGTAACACTCAGCTGTGACTCAGTACAATATCTCTTCCATTCATTGTTCCTGGTCACTGTGGGGAAGTACACAATTATTCTTCCCTTCTTTTCTGCACCCTCCTTCCCAGCTGCATTGCTGATGGGGAAGGTGCACTTAAGGTCACCCTAGAGAAATCTTCCAGGAGGCTGCAGCACTAGAGAGACACTAATGCAACACAGAAATTGCCCTTAATCATAGTGCACCAAGTACAATTTAACTGTTCTAAATACTACTGTTTTTCTATATCAGAACACACCACCATTAAGTATGCAAGCACTGCACAGGTTTTACTTCATTCATAAACCATCCACTACAAGGCAAGCTAGCCATTTATTTTTGTGAAATTAAAAGACTAATTAGTTGCATGGTAACAGCAAACATGAACATAGAAAAATGAACAACAAAAATGGGAATAAACAGAATTATTTGATGGAGGAAGTGATCTGTAGCCAGGATTCTGTACAATTCCTGGTAAAAATGACTTTCAAATAGCAGAGGGCTTCTCCAACCTACAAATCAAAGGAAAATTCAACCTTGAACTTGCTCAGCTCTGCCTAGATCATAGGGTCCACACGGTTTGGAGGATGTGTATGTGTAAGCATGCAAGGTGCAGCTGCTGTTCTGCAGAGGAAGTACTCACTTCCACTGAGAAAAGCACATCAGTAAGTTAACCACACAGTTTAACAATGCTTCTGTCTGAAGTTGTGTGTTTCATTGGGGTTTACTTAATCCAGATACAGTAACCATCACTAAGTATTAAAACTGATTAAGATCGCTGTGGGAAAAAAAATCATCCCTAGTCTTCTCATTTTAATATTTGCAGCTAGCAGCTGTTTGTAGATTTTTACTGCAGACACAGTGAAATGGATTATACAGCTGAGAATTAAGTGTTATGTGATGCAATGATACATAAATTTGAGCAAATAATTTTATTTTATCTCATTTCCCTTCCTTTGTATCTATCTTGTCTACATTGATAATGATAACTAGATAAAACTGCCTCTCAGCATTAGTAAAAATGCCATACACAATGGGACTTTGAACTTATACATATGATAACATCTAAACACTATCATGACCACTACAATAATATCAATAAAATGATCTTACTCAGATGAGCTGCCCATTGTTTCCAGGAAGCACAGGCATACTATGTCAGTCTTTTTCTCTTTTAACTAGGTTTCGAAACAGAACAAGAGGAAAACTGCATTAAAATAATAAATGTGAATATAAATGCATATATAAACTGCAAAAAGTTGAATAGATTCACTTTCCTTTGAAAAACTAATCCATTTCAATGATTTTGAACCCTAACATGTCTAAAATCAAACTAGTAAAGCTAATTAAACTTACAGTTGTCTGTAATAATAGCTGGCTTTTTTTTTTTTCCTTGCAGCAACATGCAATTATACAGCCAAAAACCTTCAAAATTAATCATGTCTAGACATCATTATGCAGTTACAGGTTTGCATGTTACTGCTAGTGCAAATTTGTTGCTGGTATCAGATCTAACTTTGAATCAAGGTCTGTCCATGTTCTTTTTTAATGCAATGGACTTGTAGTATCAGCTGCACAGTAAAAATGTTTCTGTGAGACAGAGCTGCTGGAAGGTAACCACTGCTAAAAAGTTAGTAACTCTCGGGTATAGTCTGTATTTTCTTCTCTATCTATACCAAAATGTTTAATCTACTTCGAGCAGCTTTCATGTTACAAGAATATGAACACAGCATAAAGCTTGCAAATTGATCCTACAGTCACACAAAATTAAACTACTCAGGCCTTTTTTTAAGATTTTAAAAAAAAAAAAATCTAACTGTCCTGTTCTGACCTCCCATGCAGACAGTCCTTACAGACTATCAATGTAAAGGTATTAAAGCAGTATATATCACAGACAACTAAACAAGTCTTGCAACCAAGAATTTTAGAGGCGTTTGTTTTAAAAACTGACTCCATGTTAAAATGTACAGAGATGATTTCAAAGGAGAGTCAAGAACACCTAAACCCCCTAATTATTACTAATTTATTTCATTCAGTCCTAATTAAATTATTCAGATTGAAATGTCCACCACAACTGCTTAAAAACATACAGATTGTCTGTAAAAACAACTCAAAGCTAAACCAGTATGCTCATTAGGAACAGTAACACTTTATTTTAAAAAAGTACAGTTATTTCTCTGAATTTGTCCAAAAGCATTCCTTGTTTTCTTTCCAAGAATATTCACCCTCATAAATCTCCTGTAAATATAAACAAAGAATGGGAAATATTGTGAGAGTCTGCTACATACAGCCACAAGCCAGGCCAAACAACTCAACAGCCATCCTGCTATTATTTAGTGTTCACAACAGGACTACACAGCACTTCACTGGCAAAGAGAAAAGAGAGCAGCACCCTTAGAACATATTGACTTACATGTGGGCAGATGCTGAACCTCAGGCTGAGCCCCAATTAATTTTAGAAGTGCCCATCTATGCTGAAGTTAATTCAAGAAATATCTAGAAGAAATTATGTAAAAGCTGTAAAGTACACAGCACTTGTGTCTGAAACTGCCCTTTTTACTTGCTGCCATATTAATTTACTGTACCATCATTTTTAGGAGAGTATTAAAGTGTGTACAAAATGTCAATGTTAAAAAAATTAAAATTACAACAATACACAAAATACAATAAGCATGAGATCTTCAGGACAGACTGGACTACTAGCCAGCAGCAGTCCAGTCCTAAGAGGCAAATTCAGCAAGAGTCTGAGTCCCTGGTTATTCCTTCTGAGACCACAGAACTCCAGTCTCCTGAAAGAGGTGTCAGAAAAGTGGAGTAATGTGGAGAACGTCACTGTTACCACATGTCAAGTTCTGCCTCAGAAAGGCAGCAGAGATAATGCTCATTACTTGCACGCTATACTGGTTATGTAATGAGGCTCCTCCTAGACCCAGGCTGGTCTCTCCACACACTGTGTGCCCATACTAGCTTTGGGACCACTGTTCATTCCTTCATTGTGTGCTGTTGCTTAATGTTTGGGCTTTCTCAAGGCCACAGAGATCAGGGGAAAACAGAAAGACAAGAAATACCACTTTTACTTGCAAACTGCAATGCTGTCCAAAGCAAAGCTGACTCAAAGCTCTTCCACAAGCCTATGCAGAACTGAGAGGAGAGCTCAGGGCTCCTGCACTTAGACCACAGGGTGGTGTTAAAAGGAAAAGGAGCTGAGTTGTACAGGCAAGAGAGGGCCTTCTAGGTGCCGAACCCGCCACAGATGGGCCTGGCTGCATCAGAGAAAATTCACTGCTGCTAGACACTGGCATCCTGTCAGGAGCAACTGCTGCCCATAATGCTTCAGCTACTTCCCTTAAGAGCAGCAGCAGCCTTTAGCCCAGCTGCCTAAGACTCTAGCACAGACCAAATATCAAATTTGTCCCCAAACATACCTTCTTCCATATTGGGACGGATGCTTTTAAGGTATTGATGCAGTACATTACAGCTTCAAGGGATTCTGCTCTATGTGGAGAGGAGATTGCAATAATTACACTTGCTTCAGTTACTGGAACCACACTAGGGAGAGAAGAGGAACAACAGCAACTTTAGCTAATGTTTAGCATAAAGAGCACCCAAAAATTGTGGCCATGTCATGTCAGTATTCTGGCCACATGCTCTCCTGACTCATTCATACTAAGCAAGTGTCAAGCCATGTCCAGAAGATGATACACTTTTTAAAAGAAAGAAAACCACAACCAAAACCAGTACAGATGTGAGAATTCCATGCTTTAGAATAAATAAACCCAGCAGACATAGGCTTTTTTCTTCTACCCTTTTTTTTAAATAACGTCTATGGAATTAAGAGGGGAGAATCGATAACTTGCAACAACACATAGGAACCTCACTGGAAATGGGCTTAATAATGAACAATAAGTTAGGAACAGGCAGTTCTTATCTGAAAACCTAAGAAATCATCTCAGTTTGCACAACAATTTGGGAAAGAAGAAATTAAGGGCCTCAAACTATGCAGATTTTGCAAAGGAACTTATTTTTTTACAAATTCTGATTTCAAATGATGCTTTTCCTGTTAGGTGTGTTGTTCTCCAAACTTAACAGAAGTAGCACAAGGTCGTGTTTTTCTCCACAAAGAGTAGTACTCCCAAAAGCTGCCTCCCAACCATACATCTATAGGAAGACTCCTCTGGCAAACAGTTCATAGGAAAAATCTAAGCTTAAATGCTTTGAGCTGTCCGCAAAAGAACCACTCTCTCAGTTGACTGTCAAGGAAATATAAAGGAAACCATCTCCCCACAGATAATATTTGCAATCATCTCCTAAGTTCCTTCTGCTGAGAGAAAAGGAAACAAGCATTTGAAACACTCTGCAAATCCTGCCCGTTTCAGTGAGAAATCTGATGAACAGTGAAGACTCAGAAGTATGTCAGATACTTGTATTCCATGTTCTGAACCCAACAAAAAATGCTTATCCAAGACTCGAGGAACAATAGGAGGTTTTCCAGTAAGCATGGCTGACAATTACCCTGCCTCTCCCCCTCTCCGTAGTCTAAACTTTCAGGTTCCCTATGGCATAATTCGATTTAAATCTGACAATAAAAACATTCTGCAGCACTTCAATGGAAGAGAGAAGAAAAAAGAAAGTGCTGCCAACTTCACCTCTTTTGAAAAAGATAAAACAAGCCAATAGCCTCTCCTTCCCTGAAATGAAATCTCAATCTTATCTTCACTTTCAAACCATCACACCAGCATCAAAGATCCTGCAGGCTCCAACAAACACTATCAATACATACATTTTTGAAAAGACAATTTCTGAAACAGGTCTGAAGCTAAAGTTTGGTTCTGCAGCCAGCTTTCCTGCTCCTGCACCTACGTAAGCACAGCCATGCACCACACAGGGATTAATATTCCACTTCAGGAAGGATGGGGTCTGGCCATACATACCCAAGTCTATGATGCACTGCAATATGTTTGACTGAAGGCCATTTCTGTCTAACATCTCTGCAGATTTTCTTTATTTCAGTCTCTGCCATTGACATATATGCTTCATACTCCAAGTGAATCACTTTTTTCCCTTCAAAATTATTTCTTGTAGTACCTAAACACAAATGATTTATCAACCAAAAGCAATGAGTAAATAAATATGTATTATATATTTATATTCTATATTATAGTATATTATATATAAATACTGATTAAAACCCAGGATCTCCTGCTACAGTCAAGGTGAGCACTGTGCAAATATAAATGAACTCCTCTAATCACAACTGTGTCGAGAAATTCTTTGAACAAGAGAAATCTCTAATATACAAGAATTCAGTTTACACATTACACATCTGCAGCCTGTAATGCCCGAGGCTCAGACATCTTCTGTGGTAACTGCTAAAGTGCTGTTACTGCATTTGCCCATGCAATGTTTAAGTGCTCAGTATTTAGGAGCCCAGTAGCACTAAGGTTTAAGTACAAAGGGATTTCAAGATCTGTACCACATACATTAAGTAACAGGACAAAGTTACCATCCTTGACCTTCACCAGGCCACGGGTAAAACAGCACTTTACTTTCAACCAAGATCTGAGTTGCAGGAGCTTTCATACAGTGTGGACCTGTGGTTGGCATAGCCACAACATCCCACTTTCCACCTTGAAAAAGTTGTGTCCAAAAGGATGGGAGAATAGCTCCCAAGAAGTCCTGTACCCCAGAGCTGCTGTTCTGTTCAACCTTAAGATGGCCACACCAGCAGAGTAGCTTCTCTTCACTTTGTCCCAGTACAACTGTTCAAGAGCTGCCATAGTCTTGTTCTAAATAATTCAGAACGTGTTCTCTAAACATGCTGGGTTCAGTCCAGGAATTTATTTATTTGAGAAGCACGAGTTTGGAGTGTAGACAATCTAGGTTCCATTTATTAAGACAGTTAAACACATTGAGAGATCCAGCTCAGAAATACTAAACTCACCAATGAACAGAGATACTGCCCCACAGCATGGTGAAATGACCAGCTCTGACACTTCATTTACAGAGAGCTTTTCAGACTTCAGCTTGATAAAATCTTTTGGCACATCTTCGCCTTCATCCATAGCTCGCTACAAAAGCTGAAAGCAAACAGACTCTGTTGCTGGTTTTGGTAATACTAGCACTGATCGACTGCTTTTTATCAAGTGCTGATGCCCAAATTTATGCAGAAAATATGCACCATCCACTTCTTCACCCCAAGAGACCAGCCTCCATGGTAAACTGAGTTCTCAGCACAGTTGATGGGAGAATATTAACTGCAAACATCAAGCAATGACCGGTTTTTTAATGCATACAGGTTTCTTCCTGGTAGGAAAGTTTGGTCCAATAGGATGAACTAGTCTGAGGCCCCAGTTTAACAGTAAAATCAACCAGCAAGGATCACTGTGCTAGTACATCTGTGGTAAGATTGTTGGTCCCTCCTCCTTATCTTATATCAAAACCAAACACAGTTTGAAACAGATTTCTGATAAACACAGAGTTCTCATCCTAAAGTTTAATATACGCTCCAATACATTCAGGAGCTCATACTATCAGCTCATACTATCAGGAGACACTTCTAATTTCTCTAAGTAGAAATCAGTCATCAGTTCACCTAAGAATGAGGAGGAAAATAAGTCTTTTGAGAATGGAACAGCTGCAATAAATACACACTTGAAAGCATGCAAAGAAATGAAGCTATTCTAAGGACACCTGATCCTTTGACAGCAACCAACAGAACAAAACAAAAAAAAAAGGGGGGGGAGGGGATGTTTAGCAGCAGTCAATTCTTCTTCCATATCATCTTTTCTGTTAAAAAGTGGCAGAAGGTTTTTCATTATCATATTATTTAGGCAAGCTGGTTAGCTACTGGCAGCCAAAAACATCTACAAAAGAATAACAAGACCTAAACCCCAAATTCAAAACAATGCCTGAGCTCTCTGGCAATTTTCTTCTATATACTGCATATGTTTTAATCATTTATTGGTATACCAGCTTATAGTTCCTGGTCAGCACAACAGCTCTCTCCAGCAGGAAATGCAAGTTATGCTCTCTCAAAAGAGTACTGGGGCGGAGGGAGAGACTTGCAATCACATCTCTTGACCTAAACAAGAAAAGGTTATTAGAACATTATACAGAATCCACAATATATTTTAGTACAGAGTGCCATCCACAGAAAAAAAACAGGAAGTGATACCTACCTAACAGAACCTGGGCAGATTCAGCCTCCACTAATTGGTGGGATGATGGCAACCTCGTCTCCTGGCTGTAGCACCAGGAGCTGATCTCCAAGAAGCACGTACTCCTGCTGAACAGCAAAAACCACCTGATCCCGGATGACAGCAAGCCTGAGGGGGATTGGCAGGAGCACAAATAGGTTTCCAAATAGTGTGTTTGCATTTAACCATGAGATTCCATTAAATAACAAACTGGTACACAGTCTAGATTAGCTTGGGTAAATACCACTGAGACTTACACAACCCTGCTTCCAATACACTTCCAAAAATACAACAAACACCCACCTCCTACTCTTGGATTTTCTTCTGGTGGCTAACAAGAAACCAGCTGAGTATAATTTTCGGAAGTCAGGAACTGGATTTGTCGTAGACTTACATCAGAACTAACCAGTGTATACCAGACCCACTTCAGCAGCTTCTAACACAGAAAAGGTAACTTAAGAGGTAGCAACTATCCAATCTGGGATTTGAAGGAAACGTTCGCCTGATTCAGTCTGGCTGGACTGGAGCAGTTTTCCTACATAGCAATAAGCTTATGGGATGCTGTTTGTGAGGTCTCACAAAGATTCAGTGGTCAAATGGTTGCTCTTGTGTAACCTCACAGTTTACAAGGCTTTGGGTCTTCTGTACTTACAGGTCTGACATTTGCTATAAGAAGAGGCAACAGAACTAAGAGAGCAGATGTGTTTTCTGGCAGATCTTCTATATATTTTTTGATTTCACATCTGTGAGATGCCACTGTCAGGGTCCACAACTCTGGATACCGTGAGGCACAAAGTCACTTTAGTGCTGTGAGTATGAGGGCAACAGCAGTAAAACACCAGAAGAAGAATGCCAACATTTTACTTTAGAAGGTGCAAGTGTGCAAATTATTGTTTGAGACACAAAATCTGGCAGACAGTAGAGAGCTGTATTGTCTAGAAACAAGTAAGCACGCCAAATGGGTACAAGTAAAAATCATCTGATTTCCCAGCAGCCAGATAGACAAAAGTAGGCAAGGCACAGACTGAGCAAAACACAGTAGCACTGACTCAGAGGGCATACTGAAGGGAAGGACTCTATGAAAGTCACTGAGGAACTGAGCACAACTATGTAACTGAAGGGCTCATTAGAACGATGGGCTCCAATTAATGTCACTTTTAAGTTAATTCACTGGGGAAAATGGGTGGAACAGAAGAGCATTGTCAACTACATTCAAGCTGCAGTTTGAACATCCATTAGCAATGCGAATAGAAGTCTGTGGTCAGTGCCCTACAATTATGCTGAGTTTTTCCAGAAAAGTTAGGAACAGAATCATTTTCTAAGAAGGCTGCTGTGAAGTAACAGCACGTGCAAAATGTACTGCCCCAAGACATCATTCATGAAAAGACAAAGTTGACAAACTACGGCAAACCAACTAAAGGTGCTGTTGCTGCATCTGACACCAAGTAAAAGGCTGCAAAGTAAAATACACTCATTCCTTACTGCCTCCTCCTCCAAAACACACTTAGTCTCATTTCTCTGTGAGGAAAAGGCCCCTGGTCTAAAGTTTGGTAAGAGCTTCTCATCTGGAACCAGATACCATTGCTAATAGTTGGGTTGGTTTTTTTTTCACAGATTTTGAGAGTAGATTTGATACAGAAGGGTGGTGCCTAAAGGAAGACTTTGACACCTAAGTCCAAAGGGACGTAAATTCCAGTGCATTCAGCATTAAATCCTGAGGACCTCAATCACTGTTATACCTTGCTTTTTTTTTTTTTTACTCCCCCCTCCAAAACGGTGCCACACTTCTATCAGACTTATTCCTGACAGGACTCAGTCTTAACCTCAGGGGGGATTCTGCTGACAATCCCCAAAGAGCACCAGCGCTGCAGGGGTCCTTACTGCACACACCTAGCACTCCATCAGGACCAGACTCCCTATGAAATTCAAACCATCAGTGAGGAGCAGAGGAGGCTGAAATTGGCTGACCCCTTCTCCTATGTAAGGGCTGAGTGGCTGGAAGGCTGTGTCAGGGTTTCAGTTCCCTTCCTGACCTGACTTACAGAGTGTACCATAAGCCCAGACTGACAGCTGAACAAGTGACCAAAACCACCTGCACATTATCATGAATTTCTTAATTATTGCCCTGGCTGTGCTTGATCCCTTCTTGAGACACCTCACCTTCTCCACAGGTTAATATAACATGTCAGTTTTCACATACAGCAGAATTACCTCACTGCAGCCCTCCTGGACAATGGGCCTCCTGTCTTAAAGTATCCTGCAGGCTCCACTTTTGGGTATATTCACTGGATCTAGTCTTTCCTTGCATATACATAAAGCTACAGCACTTCCAACTGGTCAAAACACAAAACGCCTCCTGCACGTTACAAGAATAAGGTAATGTCACTGCTTTTATGGTAATAACGTGTACCAGCTCAAGTACAAACGCTTGATTTGCCATTACCGAGAAACACCCAACTGTGTTAAACTTTGGGCACCTCAGCAGTAGCTTTCCCGAATACCTTGGGTGAATCTTGACGATCTCCTCCCAGAGCTGCAGAGAGGTGATCTGCCGCGGCACCGAGAGAGTCTCGCAGCGCAGCCCCGCCAGCTCAGCGCTCCTGGCGAAATACAGCACCGAGACCTGCGCGGGGAACAAACGCCGATCAGGGGAGCGCGGCCTACTGAAAAAAAAAACCACGCTACCGCACATTAACTTCGCCGAAAATAATAAAACAAACGGCTGAAAGCAAGACAGCAGGAGGAAGAGCTTTCCCTGGCTTTTTTTTTTTTTTTTTTTTTTTTTTTTTTTTTTTTTT